ACAAAGCTCGAAGCTTGTTCGTAGGCTCGACATTCCGTGATCCTCGATTAAGTAGGCCTATACATATTCTCGTGGTTAGGATTAGAAATTCAAAACAATTATCAAAACTTATAAAATTATCTGCATGACAACACACCGTCAAATACATGCACGAATTTATGTTTGCTTATCTTAAAGTAGGCTGCAACGCAACAAAGCGTTTTTTACAACTAACTATATATAGGTTACAGCCTGTTAGACTAACAACATCACTCAGCGATAACACATATGCATGGTAATCAACATTGTCTCCCTGAACTTACATCTCTTGACACATGCATGCATGCATGCATGATCAAAATATGTGACCATTGTGGGTCGGTTTTACAAAGAAATGTGTCCGATATTGCCCTTGGCCCATTCACATTTATCAGGCAAGGAAAAATCGCCCAAAATATTTCTAGTGTGAACTATAGGCTCCTTCTATAGTTTGTGCGGTGAACATAATTTTTATTTTTTACAAAAGTACCGGAGCAAGAATGCATGAGGTTATGTTTTCGAATTTATATAGTGTTGTTATGTTGTACTTTTTTCTTTTAATTCATTCACCTCTATGACCGATTTACCAACTGATAAATGTAAAAATGAATACCGCAGTCTTCATTTAGCTACATTTTGAAAAATTCTGATAGTAAACCATGATTTTTTTACATGAAAGAATGCATGCAAAGCCTATAGTCGAATTCCATTCACGTATTTATGGCGGAGATGCTCTATAATTTCTGTACAGTATGCATGCATGGACAGTACATATTAGGAACTGTATTTGCAGGGAACAAATTGTAACAATCGGTAGATAAAATGGACATATGCATGGTGAATATGGTTTTGTTTGTCCTAAAATTTAATAGTGCTACTGAACTGAGCAGATAATTATATATGTAAAAGTCAGTTGCATTAAGATATGGAAAAATCTCCCAAACGAGATTAAAAGAAATAAAGCGGTCAATTTGTGGAGCAATACTTGCCCGCATTAAAACCAATTACTTAAGAAAAAAACTTTCAAGGATTCAATGATAAATTTAAACATTTGCACTTGCAGTAAATCGTAGATATAATTCTAAGATCACTAATGGCTTTTATATATATATATATATATATATATATATATATATATATATATATATATATATATATATATATATATATATATATATATATATATACGTAATTGTGTTGTTTTTACACTTTTTCGCCTGTATTCTAAAAGCTCACTCAAACACACTCTCAATGAGTGGAGGTTCAATCTGAGCTTCTTCGGAGTGTAAATGCTGTTTTTGAATAGCTGGAGGGTGAGTAGTCACATAGTAATGTACGACACCAACCCTACAGCTATTCAAAAACAGCATTGGCACTCAATGGAAGCTCAGATTGAACCTCGACTCACTGAGTGTGAGTGTGAGTGAGCTTTTAGAATGTGGGCGTTTAATTTTTACACTTTTTCCGCATTCATTATTTCAAATATCTCATTTGGTAATGTATTTTATTTACCTATTCCCTTTAAACTGTGAACTAGTCGATTTCAGTATGCATGCTGTTGGAGTAAAGATATATATTTATGGCTTGTTTATTAAAATTGTGTTTAAATCAACAGGAGGCTAGCATATAACCTGGTTCGATAAAGGAAATATTTTATTACACATGCATGCATGCGCGCAGGCTTAAATGTTTTGGTTACAGTTGTTGTTGTTACTGCACTTATAATAATACACCTACTCAAAACATGCAGAAACATGTTATGCAAGAATAATTCTGGAACTTCGAATGTTCTATAATCTGCATAACCAATGTCAGATGGTACAAACATCAATAAAAATGTTAGTAGGCTATATAGTGGGTGTGTGCATGTGCGTTATAATCATTCTTCCTTGCAGCCAAGAGTTGCATCGGCTGAACTACAAAGCTCGAAGCTGGAAGATTATTCGTAGGCTCGACATTCATGCAGTGATCCTCGATTAAGTGTATATATTTTCGTGTCGGGTTAGGATTTGTAGACTGATTTGATTTAACAGAGTTGGGCTTAGCGTTAAGGCATGAATAATTGTTTATAGTTATACGGTAATATATGAGGTTTCGACTTATTCTACTCAGGTTAAGGTTTGGGTTATAGCTGGGTTGTATATAGGGTTCGGGTTAGGGTGGAAATAGAGGAAACTGCATGTTGCGCCATGATCACTGAGATTGCCAACGCCCCTCTATATTTCAAGTCAACTTCGCATTTATTCATGTTATGATGTAACACAACACATATTAATAGCAATTACAATGAGATACAGTGTGTAAAATATGCACGGAATACGTCGATATACGTTGAGAAAATATTTTGAACATTGATATTAAGCATAGCGTTCCATGTGTGCTGTTATATAGTTTACGGGGGTAAGTAAATGCTTTTGTTTAGACGTTTTTCATTTTATAATAAACTTCCTAGTTATAGAACTGAGCCCACTCAGGATTGCTGGAGATCAACTTGAAACGAGCCGATAATCTGTTGAGAGAATATCGAACTTCAAATACGTGAATCATAAGCTATAAATACAAGAGATATATAGATTATAATGCATACTTGTACATGTGATTCATGGCGTCAACTTATGAACTTAACTGACGACATATCTTCGAATGCACGACTTTACGTTTACTTATATCAAAATATAGGCTACAACCCAACAAAGCGTTTTTTACAACTAACTACAGGAGGTTACAGCTTGTTAGACTAACAACATCACTTATGCAAAAAGTCCAAAAAACATAGCGATATAACACATACATAATAGTTCATATATCAACGGATTCCAGGTGTTTCTGCAAACCGCAAAGATACCGTGGTCCGTTGCTGTATTGTCTGTATGCTGGTACTAAGTATTTTCTTGACAATGAAGCGCGCTGAAAATTATTTTATTTTATGTGGGTTGGAATTTATAATGTTTCCATCGCAAAACAAATATTTTAACCATATAAGTACATTGGGGGGCGATATTGCAAGTTGCGTTTATATCAGGCCTATAATTTCCATGATGTAAAAATGTATACCCTTACGAAAATTTCCTATAGGAATTGCTATAGGAATTGCTATAGGAAAAATTCCTATAGGAAAAATTCCTATAGGAATTTTGTCCCAAATTCTTATAGGAATTTTTCCTATAGGAATTTTTCAAAGTACTAAAAGTAGGGCACATTGCTTCTAAATATGCCACACAGCAGCTTTTGCAGTTAATTATTAACCTTTCAATGACCAACATTCATTTTGATGAGTAAAATCATCTGATAAATATCAAAGTACTGAAAGTGGGGATTGAGTGTTAGGGTCAATTGCATCTAAATGTGCTAACGCCAAATAATGCAAAATAGTCTGGTATTAACAGGGCAAAATATTGAGCTTTGAAATAGAGCGCATTAGTGTGAATTTGTGAATTGGGTCTTAATGAGTTTACACAAAACACAGGGAGACAGCAAGGTAACCTATCAAAGTTGTCCACTCTCTTTCAAGTAAAATGATCTGGTGTTAGACAAGGTAAAATAAAGAAGTACTGAAAGTTGAGCACATTCATCTTAATTAACAAGTTAGCATGAAATGTAAGCTAGCAGAGAGTCTGGTTAATTTGAATACCATCACATAGTTATGTTTAATTAATAGAAAAACATGGATAATTTTCCTGGCATTACACTAAAGCATCTCTAAAGGCTAACAGATTTTAATACATTGACTGGTGCAAGACCTCTCAAAATGAAAATTGTTTAATTTAAACAAAACATATGAATAAATACTGCTGCTGATTTGAGCAAGTAGTTAAATTTTCTATAGGCATGCATTAAATATGGCTGACAATTTACAATTAATCTGGCATATACAGTTGGCACTTGGGATATACAAATATATTAATAAACATGGATAAGTCTGATTCAAATATAAGACTTTTATAGTAGCATTTGTTGAAGTATAAATGCTATAAATATATTTATATCAGCATTCTAATTCCGTTTATATTGTCGCGGCAAATTCAAATTTTATCGAACCACATGCTCGAATTTCACAAATGAAGATTGGAGGTATTTCCTCTATAATTTGCTATATTATAAATAAAATATAAACTTATTCTTACCTGAACATTATGCAAACATCCCTGATGTATTACTAGTGAAAATCCAGTTGAATCCCATCAAAAATAGTTCTATTTTGCACATAAACCATTGACAAACACTGACTTGAAAAAATATCGGAGGTGTGATGATCTATCCCTTGATGCTTTGCGCGCGTGGCAAGAAAACTAGACACCAGTCTGTCAGTCGCGCACATTGCGGTAATTATTCATTCAAAATAAATAGTCCCAGTATTAAATTCTCTATTAATAAATGTCTATGAGTAAAATACGATATAGGAATAGTGTAGTTGTATAAGAAATTAAAATTCCTATAAGAATTCTTATAGGATATGATAATGGTGAAAAAATTCCTATAAGAAATAGAAATTCCTGTAGGAATGAGTTATCTCGTAAATTATATTTATCTGTATAATTTTTTATATAAGTAAAGTTCTTATACCCATGCATGTATCAGGCCATAGTGGCATAGGCTATGAATTTTTCCCACCATTTTCCAATCCTATAAGAATTCCTATAGGAATTTTTATTTCCTATAGGATTTTTTTTCACCATTTTCAAATCCTATAGGAATTTTCATTTCCTATAGGAATTCCTATAGCCATTTTCCAATCCTATAGGAATTCCTACAGGAATATTTTTTCCTATAGGAATTTTTTCACCATTTTCAATTCCTATAGGAATTTTCAATGCCAATAGGAATTCCTATAGGAAATTTCAATTCCTATAGGAAATTTTAATTCCTATAGGAATTCCTATAGGAATTTTCAATGCCTATAGGAATTCCTATAGGAAATTTCAATTCCTATAGGAATTCCTATAGGAATTTTTTTGACCATTTTCAATTCCTATAGGAATTCCTATAGGAATTTTCAATTCCTATAGGAATTCCTATAGGAATTTTCAATTCCTGTAGGAATTCCTATAGGAATTTTGATTTCCTATAGGAATTCCTATAGGAAATTTTCGTAAGGGTACTAAAGACGAAAATAGAAGACATGACATTTTAATTTTGAATTTGATGATACATAACTTCCTTCTATGCAAAAAAACAATCTTGTTGTACAGTAAACTAACGAGTATATTATAGAGTAAAGAAAGAACCGTTAGCCGTTTAAGCGTCATAGGTCCATGAAATTTCCGCTGATAAACTTCCTGAGACAAATAGAATCAAGATGTACACGGCAAAAAACGCCGAACCCGTTGCTCAACAGGACTGAACAATGTTTTGCTGCCTACGTTGTTCATATAGCTGTCAACAATATTGAACAATGTTGTTGAGCCTGAATCGGGTGTAACAATATTGTTCAATATTGTTGACAGCTATGAACAATGTGGGCAGCAAAACATTGTTCAATTCTGTTTTCATGAGTATTGCATCAACCTGAGCGTTTTTACGCGTGTAGTCAAACGTCGGGTTTACAGGTCCAGAACAACAAAATGAAATGATTATTTTGCTACCTTTGATCAATCGATCTAACCCTAACACTCACAATAAAATAGTCTTATAAATATTACACAATGTAAAATATTACAGCATGTTGCATCTGGCGCACTGCGAGCTCATTAATGGGTTAACAAGAAACATTGTGAGATTAGGTGAGTTTTGTAAACTCATTTACTGAAAGTACCCTACCACAAAGTAAAATCACACAATAACACAGAGCAAGATACTATGAAAGTAGGATTCAGCTGGATGCATTACAACTTACAAGAGACACAGGCAGATAGTTCTCTTAGCCCTTTAACTGGCATGCGCTTAGGTCTATACTCATGCAGTATCACGGACGACTAAATTCATCTGCCATTAGTAAAGTGAACTCGATTGAGAGCAGAGCTAGGTGCATTATTGGCTCACGTGTTAATTACAGCATGAGCTCCACCTTTGAATTTACTATATGAGTAAATTCTTAAACACGTCCGAATTTATCACTATGATAAATTCGCGGCAAATTTTGAATTTATCATAATAATAAATTCGCGGCACCTAACACTAACCCTAACCCCAACCCCAACCCTAACCACTAACCCCTAACCCCTAACCCTAACCCCTAACCACTAACCCCTAACCCTCGTTTTTTTAACTTTTTAAATTTTTATAACTTTTTTAAAAATCTAACTTTTTAAACTTTTTTTGCTTTTCAAAACTCTTTTAAAACTTTTTAAAACTTTTTTAAAAACTATTTTTTTTAAAAAACATGAAAGAACCATCTAGTGCCATTACATTTATAACAAGAAACCTTGTGCAATGATTGTGGTTTTATGATTAACTCGACAATTGATAAATTCAGAATGTGCCGCGAATTTATCATAATGATAAATTCGGACGTGTTTAAGAATTTACTCATATAGTAAATTCAAAGGTGGAGCTCATGTTGGTTAATTAAGAATCCCCATGCATATCTTTCCCCACACATCATCTCTCTCTCTCCCTGCCACTCTTCGTTTCTCCCTCCCCCCAGTTTCATCACGTTTCACAATATGAGCTTTGAAGCAATTTTTGTTTGAAGAAATGAGAAGAATTGATTTACTGTGGGTAATCGTGAAATATATGGCAAGTTTGCTTTGAATATTTAATTATGTTTATGAATTTTGTTGCTTTACTAAATTTTAATATTGCGTATTAAAAACATACACTTCTTTCTTTTTCAATGAAACTGTGTTAAAGTTTGCTAAATTACCCTGTTTAATTTAAGAAAAAAAGGTAAAATGTAAAGGAGAGCAAATTAATTTGAAAACTGAACTGAAATTACTCAACAATTTGAACTTATTTTATTTTATCAATTAAAAACAGTTTATCGGAAGAAGCAGTTATTAAATTGACATTTCAAAACATTTTACGAAGCGATTCAGGTTAAATTTTTCATTAAATCAAAGCTCACAAAATGCAGAACAATTCCGGGTAAACTTACTTGTACCTGATTGGCTGAGGCGCAAGCGCGGGAAGTTTCTTGTTTTTATTTAGCAATAAAAACAATGGCTTCTAGCTCAATTTGCCGTCTCGGATATAATGATGTTATTGGAGAACTAAAAACTTCTAGTGAGAATTTAAGTTCGCAACTAACTTTATTATTATTATTATGACAATATTTCAGTAGGAAGCTACACTCACAACAAGGTGATTTTCAGGCAGGTCCTACGATATCAATTAAAATACAAATAAAACTACATTATAATAGCATATATAAAAAGTATGTTTAAAATTATATCAGCATAAAATCGTATATAGAGTTCTTAAAAGAAGTCAAATTGTTCGATTGTCTTTGGTCTAAATTAATATAGAGTTCTTATATAGAGTTCTTAAAAGAAGTCAAATTGTTCGATTGTCTTTGGTCTAAATTAAGGTTATTCCAATCAACGACTGCTTGATATATATAGCGTTGTTTTCCCCAGTTAGTACGCGAGCGTGGAAGATGTAAATCCTGACGGCGGCGTGTGTTGTGGGAGTGAATTTCAACGTTTTGAACTAGGTTGAATTGATATTTTATATACTTATTTATACATTTATAAATACCAATACAACGGTGTTGGCGTCGACGTTCTGATAGAGGCATCCAGTTTAGCTGTGCGAGGGCTTCGGTACCGGAAAAACTAACGAATAATTGCCCTCTGTGATTAACAAGTAATCACATAGTTGCTCATAAAATTAAGATTTAATTTCACTTTCAAAGTTGAATTAAACCTTGATTTTACTCTGCCCCTTGCGATTAACTATACATATTTAGAGATGTGTACATTGTAATCCATGTGAGTGTATATACACCAGGAACGACTGCGGAAAATGCAGCACAAGGTCCTCTGCTAGGAATTGAACCTACGGCCCTGCGATTCCGGTTCAGCGCTCTAACCAACTATAAGCTACAGAGGCCAGCTATTGAGCTGTAACCGTATACTAAGTTTATGTATCTATAGGTGATCGGGTGTGCGGGTTGTGATAAGGTGGACTTCAATTATCTGGTTTCTTGCACTTCACTTGGTGGAATTAATATTAGAATGCTGTTCTTAGGTTTTGTAATCCAAGTGTGTATATATATATATATATATATATATATATATATATATATATATATATATATATATATATATATATATATATATATATATATATATATATATACACACTTTAAGACCTGACCAGGAACGACTGCGAAAAATGCAGCACAAGGTCCTCTGTAGCTCAGTTGGCTAGAGCGTTGCACTGGAATCGCAGGGCCGTAGGTTTAAAGGGGCAGTATGATCAAAAATTTTATTTTCTTAAACGAAAGTGCTCGTAAAACTGTATAATAACTTGTTTTGAAGACTTTTGTTCCCATGCTTAGTTCTTGTTTGTAACCATGTGACGTCATCTACTCAATTACATATATAATGAGATATCAGTAATTGTTGCGTATCTTTGCTATTTTTATCAAAATATTTCGAAAGATATGGCGGGTTTGTTAATTTAACCTACATCATTAAGCATACTGTGTTTTTAACAAATCGATCAAAAATAACAAAGATACACAACAATTACTGATATCTCATTATATATGTAATTAAGTAGATGACGTCACATGGTTACAAATAAAAGAAATATCTCAAGAACTAAGCATGGGAGCAAAAATCTTCAAAACAAGTTATTATACAGTTTTACGAGCATTTTGGTTTAAGCTTTGGTTTAAGAGAATAAAAATTTTGATCATACTGCCCCTTTAATTCCTAACAGAGGACCTTTTGCTGCATTTTTCGCTGTCGTCCCTGGTGAGGTCTTAAAGTGTTATATACTCACTTGGATTACAAAACTTAAAAACAGCATTCTAATATTAATTCCACCAAATGAAGTGCAAGAAACCAGATCATTGAAGTCCACATTTTATAACGCAATCGCGTTATCTCTTTTATTAGTCAATGCTTACACCAACTGCATTAACTGAGGTACATGATAGCTAGAGCGAAAACTATTATTCAAAATAAACAAAGACCCTGTGGGCTGCTATGTTTGATCGAGAAACATCGCAAAAATCATCTTTAGCTGGGAAGAAAAATAATGGTGGACAATTTGATCCAACTAAAGTTCAGACGATAATAAGTATGTTGATGATAAAATGTTTGACATAGTAATTAGTTAGTGGTAACTGGCATGACTCTCCCCTTCACGAGTGAATTGTCTTGTGTTAAAAATGGTAAAGCAACAAGGTAGTGCGCCCTTATGCCAATTATATATTAATTTTCTTTTTCAGTAGCGTATATGTGAGCCCCACGTTTCCAGGAGCTGAAAAACCGGCAATAAGAAATGTGATAAGCCAGAAAATAAAGGATAAAAGGATGGCTTGTGAAAGAAAGATAAAAGATGAACTTGATAAATGATTTTAAATATCAAAATAGTTAAAATTATAGATATATAAGCTTATAGCAACTTTTAATGAACCTTTCTAAAATCTTCACGCACACACTTTAGTGCATAGTATATAGCTATTTGGGTGAGTATTTAGAAATAGCATTGTAAATACAGTCGAACCTCTATTAAGCGGCCACCCTCGGGGATCGGCTTTGTGGCCGCTTAATATAGAGGTGGCCGCTAAATAGAGGTACGCAAATAATAGACCCTGGGCGTAATCAATGCTTTTGAGGTGTAAAGTGGCATGTGTTAAAACATAATTTTTAAGCCTTATTTTACAAATAACGCAAATTAGCTCGACTTTTATTTTCGGCTGTCTTGACAAGGTGTTGCGCCAAGTAAAGCCTGCAGACCGGCCGCTTAATAGAGGTAACAATTGACGTAAAACATCATTTGGGACCGCTCTTTGGGTGGCCGCGGCCGCCTAATAGGGGTGGCCGTTTAATAGTGGGATAGCCTATAGTATTTGTATTACAAAAATTTCGGGACTTCGATATGCGGCCGTTCAATAGAGGGCGGCCGCTTAATGGAGGGCCGCTTAATAGAGGTTTGACTATAGATGTGTGGCTAACTATATTAAACACTTGTATACTATATTAACCTTTTTTTATATAGACGCATTAAATTTTCAATTTCCCAATTGATATATTTATTTACAACAAAAGTTGTAAATGATTGTTCATAACAAAAGTCCTTCATAACAAAAGTTGAACTGGAAAAATTTTCATATATATATATATGTAGAATTTCAAACATCAGAAATTCCATATATGAATATTTCATATGTGAAAATCTCGCATGTATGGGAAATTTCATATATGAAATTTTCTCATAACGATTTGATACATGAAAATTTCATATAATATGAACAAAGTTCATATATGAAATAATTTCATATGTAGTGAAATCGTCCCATATATGAAAGTATTTCATTTATGAAATAATTTCATATATGAAGTTTTTTTTGTTTTTTTTTCTGTGTTGGTGTTGTGTACTCAGGTGAATAATATGTTTGCGATGTTACTCTGAGTGCATGTCCACACCGGGCGAGCTTGAAAAATATGCCCGGCCACGGTGGGATTCGAACCTACGACCTTTGGAACACTAGCCCAATGCTCTTCCAACTGAGCTACGCGGTCAGGACGGTTCGAGTAAGTGATATTTCGGAACAGTATCTAGTTCCT